CGCTGCTGAGCAGAGAACAGATGATGGAGAACCTGCGCCACGCCATCAACCCAGGACGACCGTGGCATGCAACTTGGCTTACGTCGATCGACGGTCTCGATGTCGAGTTTCTGTTGCGCTGGCCGGATGTCTGCCCCTTCCTGGTTTTCAACTGTGCGCTTTGCAGCACCACGAGCTTTTCGCTGCTGCTGAGCCGCTGACTGAAGAGATGATGCAGCATTTCATGATGCAGGCACTGCCGGGACGCGTTTGTGCCTGTCATCCATACCTGCTTTGGACGAGCGTGTATGCCCATGCTTGCTCAGTTTTGGACTGCTCAACAGATTTCTCAGAGCTGCGCAATTGCCAACGCACAGACTTCCAGCCATCAATTGGCATTGCAGCTCGAGCGTTCCTTCAGCTGACCCTGATGGGTTGAAGTGCTGGCCCATTTCACTGCAGGGGTCAACGCCACCTCTTAGCACAGAGGGCGTCTCGAAAGAAAGAAAGAAAGAAAGAAAGAAAGAAGAAGAAGATGATGATGGTCATAATATAGTGATGATGATCACAAGAATCACAAGTTGGCCAATGCCAAGATAAAGATTTGCTTTCGTTTTCGCGCCGACCTGTCGCGCGTCTTGCCAGGTCGCTGTCAAACGGTTGGTGAGCACTTTGGATGGCGCTATCTTCTTTGGCTGTGAGTTCAGCAAGCTTTGCGCTTGGATGCTGAACCACAGCAGGGTACTCTGTTTCTCCAGTGTTTTTCACGCAGAGCTTCTTGCTCTGACAGGGTTCCACATGTTCTCCTGCTATGGATCTTTTGCACAAGCAGCATGAAGAACATTGTCCACCGTACTCTGTTTCCGCAGTGATTTTCATGCATGGCTCCTTGGTCTGACAGGGTTCCACATGTTCTTCTGATATGGATCTTTGACACGTGTCCTCTGAGCGGTCCGCGCTTGGTGCAACCTTCACGGATCCCGCTGTCTTCGTCTTGTTTCCAGTTGTTCCCTTGTGGGGCCCAACCTCGGGAATTGGAATCCACATTCACCGACACTCCTCGCGACGCTGCAGCGCCACCCGTATACTGTGTTTCTGCAGGCCGAACAACGCCCTCAAGGCCTCCTTTCTCCGGCTGCCTGCACTCCGACGCCATGCTACGACAACCCGAGTTGAACGCGTCGGTCGACTCCACGTCGCAGGCTCCGGTCGAGAAGAGAACCGTCAGGCGCTCGACGTGCACTCTCTCCGCAAAGTGTTCACAGAACCTCACATTGCACCTCACGTTTGAGCACTCGACGTGCTCGATCGCCGCAAAAGGTTCACCAAGGGCAAACGAAATTCGCAGTTCACCTCACGTTTGAGAACTCGACGCGCACGATCGCCGCAGAGCAATTTTTTCCAGGGATCAAGACAATTCGCATATTACCAGAGTTTCGCGCATCCAACACGCGCGATCTCGGCAGAGGGTCGTGTTTCGTGAGCATTGGCCGGGCCCCGCCGCCTCAAGAAAAGTTTAGAAAGATGTCGAAGTTGTAGTTGTGCAAGTGAGCTTTGTAGGTGTCTTCACTAGTAATTATCTCGACGCCCGTATCTCAACGCCTGTATCTCTACATCTGTATCTCCACGCCTGTGTCCCAAGACCAATTTTTATCTCAACGCCTGTATCCCAATGCCTGTATCCAAACACCTGCATCTATGTAGATGTGTGATAGCAGGTGCATCACCTGCATTTGTGGACTTGTGTTATGATGATGATGATGGTGATGACGACGATGATGATGATACAAGTGTGTTGCACCAGATACCTCAATCACCTTAATCTCCACACTTTGATGACGAAGAAGAAGATGATGGTGATGATGAGGATGATGATTATGTATGTATGTATGTATGTAAGTTATATTTATTGTATTTAGATGGATATTTGAGATGATTAGATGGCAACATGTTTCTCTGGGAGAGAACTTATTGTCATAAAAAGTTGACATGCACTTTGTGGAGGGGATCCTATAGAGGGATAGGATGCTATAGTCCTATGTATATAAGTAATTGATCCAGCTATGTATACCACCCAAGAGTTGCATGTTTAGGAGCCCAAGGTTTCATGTATGTATGTATGTATGCATGCAGGTATGCGTGTATATATTTATGTCTGTACGTATGTATGTATGTACGCATGTACGTACGTATGTGTTGTAGCAGTTTTATCAATCACCTGTGTACCCACACCTTGATGATGGTGATGACGATGATGATCATGATGCTGCCGGTGCTGATGATGTTTACGATTGTGATGATGATGATGATGGCGACTGTGATGACGATGAAGAAGAAGATGATGGTGGTTGGACAGTTGAAATTGGTAGCCGTTCTTGACCGAGAACCCTTGGCAGGTGCGAAAGCTTTCGAGAACAAAACAAAAAATTCTCAAAACCTAGGTTCGCCCCCCAAAAACTGATTGGGAAACGAACCCTGGGACTCTGAAGGTGGAGGTGTTGGTGTCTTAAGGGGCGATGGAGGTTCCCTTGGCCATTGCTGGTTCAGCAACAACACCCCAGGCGTGCGTCTTTGGTCGAGTCGACTCCCCGGGCCGTGACTCGTTGGGCGTCGTTGGTCGACTTCAGCGTCTTCATGCGTCCACGCGCGCGCGCGCGATTGTGAACGCGAGAGAACGCCGCGGTCTCCGAAGCGAGACCGAGGTCTTCAGATCTCCTGTGTCGTGGTTTTGGGCCCATCCTTAGCACCTTGGCGTGCGCGCAAAGTAGATGTTGCGAAACAAGGCTGAGATGTTCTGGAAGGATGTCAAAAATCTTTACAGTATCATCCAGGTTTGTGAGTCTTCTCTCCAAAATGGGACGGGTGCACTCCTCAAAATTAGGCCACGTCGCAATGAGTTGGCTGGGGTTCTAGCGACGTTACCGATTAGCATGTTTTGACCACAAAACAGTGGTAACATTGGTGAATGCTTGGCCATAGGTTGCAAACATGTCAGTTAAAACAGCTCCGCCAAGAATCTTCTGTCAAGGTCAACCGTGCACATGGCAATATCTCCAATCTGGGGCACCCACCTGACAAGCTGGCGCCCAACAATGTTTTCATCAGGCGTCGCCCGGGGTGAAACACATGCACCATGCCTCCTAGGCGGGGCCAATTGTTTTGTCGCCGCCGCCGCCGCCGCCAACTGTAGCAGTGTTAGAATAAAACACGGTTGATGGTGCCAGGCCCTTTTTTCCTTGCAGCCACTTCAAGCGGCAAGTACTTCCCATCACCTTGCCTCCCAACCCAGGCCTGCTGAAATGCACGAATGTTCTGGAACGCAAGGACTATGTTGATGAGCAAATGATGGAACAAATGATGAATGCTGAATGTTGTGCAACGCGTGGACTATGTTGTGGAACAAATGCTGAATGCTGTGCAACGCGTGGACTATGTTGTGGAACCAATCATGATTGTTGCGTAACGCGTGGATTATTTTGTGGAACAAATGGATGTTGTGCAGTGTGTGGACCGTGGGATGATGAATGTTGTGGAACAGATGTTATCGTTGTGGAAAGGGTGATATTTGTTGAATGCTGTGGAACCCATGATAAGTTTTCTGGAGCGGATGCTGAGTGTTTTCAATTAGCGGAACAACTATGTCTAATGGACAAATTTTCTGAAACATGTAGCCCTCCCCTGAGTGTCCCATAAACATGCTGCCTATAGCGCACGGAATTTTGTAAAACACCTCTAAAACCCAGGCCGCTAATTCCGGCGTGAGCTTAGGCTGCATCTTTTGTTGGACAGATGCCGGATACGAAACCCATTTGTATGACCTTTTTCAGGACACACTTGCCTATGTACATGTGGCAATTTTGCGCGCGATACAGCTCACACTCTTCGTCACCTGAAGAACATGTGCCCACTCTGGACCCATTGTAGGTGTGCTGGGGGGCAATCTAATGCTGCATTTACTGGAGGGATGTTTTTTTTGATTTGCTTCTTGTTGCTTGCTTCTCTATGATTTTTCCTGCTGCTCTTCCTGGCTTTTCTTTACTTTCCTGCTTCTTGTCCTCGTGTGGTGTATTGTTCCCCTGTCTTAATTGCTTTTGCCTTCTATTCTATGGCCTTTGTTGCCGCCGTTCTTTTTGATTTGCTTTTCAATCTTTGCGTTTCAGTTGCTGTATTCTGGCTTTTTCTGGTTTTCTATATGCACTTTTCCTACTCTTGTTGTTTGTTTTCTGCTCTACTGGTTGCTGTAATTTGTTTCCCCTTAGGGGACAACCCAAAATGCATAATAATGTTCTTTCTTTCTTTGCAGCCTTCTCGATCATGATGCACTTGTTTCATGTTTGTTGCCCTGCAGTCGGAACTTTTGTTTTTGTTTTTGCCTTGTGGTCCAGTTGGTTAGTCTATTTTTGCACACAGCTAGCTTTCCACTTCCACTGGAGGAACTATAGAGAAACCACGGCTGCAAATAATTACCCAAGGCAACGCAACAAATCTACAAATAAAACCGATGGAAACCGGGCTCCCGCAATCCAAGGACTTGGTGAACTTCTCCCCAACCCAGCTGCAGTTGCAGACAGCTCCTGGGGCGAAGCCGGGGTGGGAAGAAGACAGCCATGGCCTTCCCGTGGCCTTTCCATGGCCTGTTATGTTGGATGTGAGCAGATGAATGGATGGAAGAAGGTGGAACGATTTAGTGTTTGCATCGACCGTTTAACCATGCTCACCACTGACCTAAATTCCTGCATCATGCTTGGGGAACCCAAGTCTGTAGTTGGTCTTTCAGCTTGGCCTTCGGGTCGCGCTTGTTCTCGCTCTCGACCGAGACCACTGCAGATTGCTGCTCAGTTAGCCTTTTGGGCGGCAGCATTGAACTGGATGACTCATAGAAGGTTGACAGGTTTCATGTTGTTTCATGTTCACACCTTACGAGGGCCAGGTTGTCAAGAACAACAGGCTGGCATGAACACATGAACGCATGTGGCCAGTTTTACCACGGCTCGCAACGGTGCATCAAAGGGTTTGGAACACCTGGCTTTCGCGTGGATGGAGGGCCATGGTGCCGAGCGAAGACGTGGAGGGTGTGCCGGACACTGTGGAGAACCATCATGACGACCCAGTCGCACAGGAGTGGGAGATAGCTGTCGCCACGGGTTTTCACATGTTCTTTGCACCTCAATGGCACGTGAGTAAGAGTGTAGTAAGTATATATATAATTTGATGCTAGAAGCCTGGGTCGTGTAAATGGCCAAATCCGGCGAATCAGATCCTCCGGTCAGTCCTTGGTTTTTTTCCAGAAGTCTTGGTCTTCGTTCCCCGAGGAATTGGAGACCGGAGGATTGGAGGATGAGGATGAGATTCTGGCCGCCCTTCGGCAAGAAGAGATCACCGAGCGAGTGGGGAAGATCCTCTCTCGCATGACACCGTGTGGGGTCGACATCCTCCGTGGGACCAAGGCTTATCAGGTTCTACAAGGCTTCGGCTCACCCTTGCGGCATCCGAGCCCTTCTCTCCATGCGAAGAGCTATCCCACCGAAAAGATTCAGACGTTTTGTAGCCACAGCTGGCAGGGGTGGTGGTTGGCCAAATATCTCACCCTCCTGCTGTTTTACAATGGCACAGCTGCTGCTGTAGTCTCATCCATAGGGGCTGCCATAGCTGCTGGCCTCTTTTGCTTCGACGTCCTGCCAATATTGAAAGCCGAGGATTCGCAATACTGGTCGTCCTTTTGGGCAGTGATTGTGGGTGGGCTACTGTATGTCATCACGCTGCTCTTTTGGCGGCGTTCATCCTCTCTCTTCCTTGACACCATCTGCATCGATCAAGTGGACCCAGCCCGAAAGTCCAAAGGCCTGTTCAGCATGGGCGCTTTTCTGAAGTCTTCCAACTCAATGCTTGTGCTGTGGGACGCCTCATACTGCTCTCGCTTGTGGTGCATGTTCGAGGTGGCCGGATTTCTCCGGAGCCGTCCTGACAGTGAGAAGCCAAGACTAATCATGAGGCCGACCATACTGGGCCCATGTTACATCTTGCAGACCTTCACCGTCTTCATTGTTTTTGTGAGTGTTGGCCTTGTACCTGATCATACTCCATGGGTGTTCTTTGCTTTTCAGGCATTGGTTTGCTTCTGTGGGTTTTACATCAATGTTGCTGCCTACCGGAACTATTTCTCGTCCATCGAGAAGATGCAAGCTGAATTGTGCGGTTTTGCCTTGCAAAACACAGCTTCCGATTGCTGCAGCAGAGAGCACAAGCTGCCAAACGGAGACAAGATGATATGTGACCGGGATTGTATTTGTAAGTGCATTTCCGCATGGTTTGGTCGCCTGGACAACTTTGAGAACAGAGTTCGGACTGAGGTGTTAAGCTGTCTAACTGAACAGCTTACTACTCAATTCTTCACCTATAGACAGTGCGTGACCACCATGGTTCCAATTCTTTGGTCCTTCATGGACACTGGCTCTGCGCATGTGCGCTTGAGTCAGAAGCCTGACCATCTCCCATGGCTCATGGGAGCCAGAGAGATGGCTCGAGGATTTGCATGGTGGCTGGGCGTTGCTCCAGTCGCCTTGCTGGCTGGCTTTCGGATCTCCTTCTACCTGCGGCGAAGATGGAATTGTGGTAGGTGTGATTTTTGGCTCAACGTCCCACCCCTCCTGGCCGTCGTTGTGGTCGTTGCCATCATGGTGCAACTGGAACAGTTGTGCTTTGGTGCCTTCCGGGCCAAGTCGGAATTTCTGGTTGCTTCGACCAACATTTCAAGACGTTTTAAATTCTGAAAAAGCCACGGCTACTGTCTCATATCAAGAGATGCATATTCCAGGAGTCCCCCCATGTTTTGGAGAGGTTCAGGTTCAATCATGTTCTCTATGACTCCCCTTGCTCCGGCTCCGGCTTGGTTGACCTTGCCAGGTGAATATGCTGGTCTTTGCAGCTGTGGTCCTTCCCCTCGCAGCTCTTCTCTTCGGATGTGTTGGTGCGCATCCAGGCATGAACCGCAAAAAGGCTGAGATACGCTACTCGCCGCGGAGTCCTTCCTCATGACAAGGGGGCATGAAAGAAGCACCGGCGTAAGCAGGAGTTGGATGGACAAGGCATTTTGAACTTACGACATGTGGCACCAGCCGCGACATGCCTGGTGTCCACAGTCTCACTGGCTGCGTTGCGGTCTGCAGCTGGAGAGAAGAAGAATCGTGAATCCTTTTTGTGCCTGGGTTGGGTTTTAGCAGGCTTTTGTACAGCTTCTCTCAGAAGCTAACGAGGAGCTTTGTATACTGGCTCAAGTACATATCAAGGTGAGGAGCGCCAGTCCTACCAAGGTGGTTGTTTACCACTCACAACCATGTCTCACAATGTTCTCATGTTCGCGCAGGTCATGTCAGAATTATTTGTTATCAAACCTACCTATAGACTAGTATGCATTTAAAATAGTCTAATTGACTAGAATGTTGAGGCGTTCATCCAGACTCAGACATGACCTGACTTCACCATTGCTTTCTGAGAGAACATTAGAGTGTTTCACCCCAGATTCAGTCTATGCGTTTAGCTTGCGCCAGTGAGCGCTCTTGAGAGAAAAAAACTCTGCAGAGGTACCTGATTCAGACGAACCCAAGAGCTGGGTCCAAATACTCTGTCGCTTTGACCAGAACGTCTGCAGATTGCTTCGTCTCCTGCATGGATTGGTGGACAACTCGCCGACTGGTCGGATCATCGTTCTCTTCCCCGCTTCATCGTTCAGTGCCACAAAAAGTTCAGGTCTTTGCGGATGGATCAGCGAGCGCTTGGGCGAGCTATGCACGCCTAGCATTTCCCTCCTTGAGCATGACCGCCGCTCGCCTGTGAGGGAACGCACAGCTGTGGTGTTTTTGAGAGTCAACCTGGGTCGCAGGGAACCATCTGGATTCAGACTTGCTTTCTTCGAACTTTGGCGTGTGGGTCATTCCATTTCTTGGGATATATATTTCGTTGAGATGCTTGAAAAAGACAGTGCTGACAGTGCTCAGGTCAGCGATTTGCGCCGGATGTACAAGGTGCCAAGTGGTGGACGGACTTGCGCCTTCGGCATCGTTTCTCGGAGAATTCTCCCGCCATTTTCATGGAATCGGGTGGTTTGGTTCGTGCCATCCAATGCAGGTGGATGTAACAAGGGACCCCTCCAAGTACACTGAGAACATGGAACTCTTGGCCAAGAGAAAGGAGATTTTTCAGGCCACCGAACTGCTGGACTTCTTTTCTGGTGGTGAGTTTAAACAAACACGTCCACGGTATTATATTGTGTTCAATCACCACAAGCACAGAATGCCCTCAATGCACCAGTTACGCTTCAGGATGTGGATTCTCCGTCCTCCTTTGAGGCCTCCTTTCAGCTCAGAAGGACCCTCCACTCCGCTTCCATGTTGAGACCCTCCACCCCCGTCACGGACCGTTGATGGGGCAGTTCGACACGGGCAGGTGCCGGACGGGCATCGAAATCATGCTCCCAAGAACTCCCAAGCCTTGGCCAGCTTCTTCAACATCTCGGCGTCCGAGGCGCTGTGGTAAGAGGATTCAAAGCACTTGTTGCTTGAGGTGAAGCAAACGTGTTTGATGATCACAGATGGCCCAAGAGTGAAAGTGATAGAGTCAGAACGACTTGGATAGAACGATATTAAACCAGGCTAACGCCTGGCAGCCGCCGACCCCCAGGGAAGTGGATGGCCTAGTCACTGCATCACCAAAGTAGGCAGAAGAGAGCACGGCAAATGGGTTAGCATTTTTCTTTGAAAATCTGGGAACCCAAAAAACAACACGGAGCCCCTAGACAACGACAGAACTATCTAGAAAAACCAGAGAAAATCCGGGAAAAACCTCGCAAAAGGCATGAAAGGCATGAGTAAAGCTTAGAAAAACCTTCGAAAATCCTAGAAATCCAGCGGAAAACCTTTGCAAGTAGAGGAAAATGGGTTAGCATTTTTCTTTGCAAATCTGGGAACCCAAAAAACAACACGGAGCCTTTACAAGTACCTACGACATGCTGGAAAACACCCTCGCAAAAGGTCTGAAGGGCATGAGTAAATCTTACAAAAACCTTTGAAAATCCTAGAAATCCAGCGGAAAACGTTGCAAAATCTGAGAAAAATCAAGGGCACTGGCGGCAGGGACCAGGCCGCGACCAGCCCGGGATTCGAGCCCGGGACCATTTAGGGACCGTGCTTATTTCCCGCGCGGGTGGAGAGGGTGCCCCAAGATGCAAATCAATTGGGATGGAGAAATCTTGGACAATTCTTGCGCAAATCTGGGACCTTTTCGTCACTGTAACAAGGCTCCGGAGGGGTAGGGGAGGTAAGGCTAAGGCTAAGGTCTAAGGCTAAGGCTAAGGCTAAGGCTATCAATCAACAGTCACGCCTCACCCCACGAGTGGGGTCGGCGGATAAGGTTTTCGATGTGCTTCTCCTTTGCGTGTGCTTGCTTTGGGTGAGTGAGGGATGACTTTTGGAGCTTGCTGGAGCACCCGCCAAAGGCAGTAAACAAATATTCTTTAAAGCAGATATCTCACTGGCTTGTGCTCATTTACAAGATCTTGCGAGTTTGGACCTGTGTGACGCTGAAACCACAAGATGAGGAGATTCAAGATGCTGATGTGCCATGATGTGCTTATGAAATAGAACTCAGAATAGACGAGCCAATCCAATTGTAGCAGCTACATGCGCATGTGCCGATCTGGACAACTCCAGCCATTCAAGCTGGATGACTACTACTCACTTGCACTGACTCAAGCTGGATGACCTTGGTAGATGAGTCCTTAGTATGACAACTACCATCTTAATCTTTGATCTTATTTTCCTTTTCGGGCCAACTTCTGCGGCCAGGCGGACGCGCGGCGCTTCCATTTGGCCATGGGCAACCGCCGGCAGCCCTCGGTGCACTTCGTGGGCCCACAGGGACCGCCGGGCGTGGAGGGGAACATTGACCTCCAGTGGATCCAGGACGGGAGCATCTGAGCCCCAAAAGCGAACGGCCAAAAGGAGCCGGTCCCATGGACCCATTCGTTGGCCCGAACGAGACCATGTCCGAAGACTGCCACATGTCCGAAGACTGACCAACTGACTAGCTGTGACTAGCTTGGGTGTTCGAACATGTTTGTCGGTGGTCGTAACAGTTTCGTAAAGGACAAGACGCCGTTGGTTCCCTGCATTTGAAGCAGCTGGCCGGTGAGGCCATGGGCAACAATGTGCCGGTGACTTACTGGGCAACTCCCGGTGGTGATCCTGCCACAGCCCATGAGCAACTTGGATTCAGAAACTAGAAACCTCAGGTAGGGGGACATTGTAACAAGTGCATCACTACTACTAGTAATGCTGTTAGCTAGGGTTTCTCTCGTTGAGTGCTGTAAGGGCCGCAGAGGGTGTGCCTTCAATTGGGGGGTATGTAAGAACCCCATTCCCCCTTGGGACCCCTGTGTTTTTGAAGTCGCTGACAACGAGGTCACGCGAATAGAACACTCATGACCATGGTGATGTCAAAACCAAACCTGCAGCCCTCCTGTGGCTCGTTTCACCTCCCTTGGAACTCTGAAGCTCATCTCACATGGTGCGGATGAAGAGTATAGCACTTCCCACCACCTGGCGAAGTGCGTGCGATGAATAGAGACAAGGAAGTCACGGTGCCACCTCACAGTGAGAAGCAGGTGTCGTTCTAGCTCCATTGCGGCACTTTTCGGGTCAAGGATTTTCCCAGTGCACAGCCTTTGCTGTACAGCCGGACCAATTCAACAGCCGGACCATTTGCCGCAGCTTCACTCGTAAATCTCCGATGTGACGATTCCAACGGGCTTTCCGGACCCTTGTCATCCGACTTGCTTTCTTAACATCAGCTCAAGACGGCCTTCTTCGGACGTCCGAGGGAAGCGCGTAACTTGAGGCCGTTCTTGGAGTGGATCCTGGAGCTTGCCAACAGAGACTTGGCCAAAAACAGGTCTAGAGTCTAGAGTCTGCAGTATTGCAACATCACATTCAGGTGCCATTGCACATGGAAGAGTTTGTCGATACCATGCTACCAGCATTGTGTATTGCACTGAAGTGTAGCCAACAGATACCCACAGATATGTGAAGACCGTCGATGAGTCGATGATATCCAACATGTGAATGGATGTAGCCGGATGGCGCAGCCGGATGGCGCAGGAGAACTGAAGGAACAACATAGAGGAAAGCACGAAGCATGACATGCACATGAAGCACGACATGAAGACAGCACGACATGACACTCGGGAAAAGCCTCATTTGTGTCAGGTACTGACCCGCCCTTGGTGCATTCCTTGAGCTATGGAGAGAACGAGGAGGACCAAACAACGAGGAAGCCAACAAAGAAGATGAGACACTGTGAACCGGGCCCTTTGTTTGACACGATTCCTCGTCCAGAGCAACGTGTGCACATGCTTTTCCTTCACGAACACGTGACGAGGGTGACAGTTCTGGTACACTCAGAACACCAAGCTCACTCTCCAGAAACAGTGACGGACCATGCTTGGACAGCACAGGTCAGAGAGTTCCTGTTTATATAATTTGACTTTAAAACACTGCTTTGCAGCAGTACATGGGGTGTTTTGTAATCCTTCTCCACCCGGAAGATGGTTCCGCCCCATCGCCCCATCCGACCGGTACAGTGCTGATCGCATCGCGTTCCGAAAGATGTGGCCTGGGTGTGTCCGCGCGGGTCTTGCGAGCTCTAAGGATATGGCTTTGGATCCAAAGGGACACAAAAGACAACAAAAGACCAAGAAGGAACCTAGACATTTTCACCAGGAAGGGAGCATCAAGACATTCTCTGTTGTTACCTTTGAGGCAGCCCCAACTTGCGTTTTTCCGTCAGCATCTTAGCATCTTCACCAAACAGGACATAAAGCACCGGACCTCTCTCCCCATCGCCTCCCTCCTCATCGCCTTTGGACTCAGTACGGTTTCGTCCTCGCCCCGCCAGGATTACTCGGCCGCCTACCAGCGCCGTGCCAACCTGGAGCTCGCCAAGCTGGGCTTGCGGGGCGTCACGGTGCTGGCGGCCAGCGGCGACACCGGTGCGGGGTGCTGGGAGGTTTTGAGGAAACCAGGGTGGGGGTGGTGGAAGAGGATCACTCAGGCAGGATGACTTATACTTTTTTGTTTTAAACCACCATAAGGTTGATCTGATTTTAGAAGTCTTTGTTGAACCTCGGTGTTTGAAGGCTTTGCAATGGGAAGTTGATTTGGTTGAAGCGGATCTAGGTCAAATGGAAACATCATAATTGGACCATCGCTATGAACTTGAGTTGGATGCATAGCCATGGACTAATTATGGACTTGATTTGGGCAAGTTGGATTATACCAGGACCATCCTGTCGGGTGGCTGGACTACCCCACACTACCTATAGGCTTCCAGACAGGGCACCCCGACAGGATTGTCCAGGTATAGTTCAGCATAGTCAGTCCAACTTGCGCTGAAACAGTGCTTTTGACCAATTCACTTCGCCGGCGGCACAGGCTCTTTTAGCCCAGGACCGCCGTTCTCCGTGCGCCACAGGTGTCCAGGGCGCTGCACAGGCGGGCGGTCAACCACCGCGATGCGCGCCCTTTGCAGCAGTGCTTTGGCCAAAAGGCGAGCTCTGTGGAAGGGTGTCTTTTGTACAACAGTTATGAACGTGCATTTGGGCCTGCCGGGTTGACGCTAACAGATGATTCACCTACCTGAGAAATCAATTGACCAGATTCCAACAAGATCCAAGAGACATCTTCAGAGTCATTTGGTACATTTTGGTACCAATCTCCCATCTCGCAGGAGGGGCGACAGGGAAGAGCGGATCTCGAGAAGTATGGATCGTTGGATACCGGAAGCTCCATCAAGACAATGCATTTCAACCCATCTATATATGTATGGTGACTTTTCTGTAGCTTCTCGGTTTCTGAGCTAATCTTTAAACACCCAAAATATCCCACAATCATCACTGATCGAATTCCACAGAATCCACCAGGACGAGCTGCTACCTACAGGTACTGTAGCAGATGCAGCACTCTTCCTTCTGAAAGATGGTGTGTTTTCTCACCGTCTGCGCTAGAAGCGTAACAAAACAAACCGGTCTGGCACCGGTTTAGCCAGAGATCCCTACGAACTACCGTACAGAGGAACAGAGGACGAGACTGCGGAAGAGGACGAGCCGAAGGAAGATGTCCTTTTTCAATACACCCTTCAATACACCGGGCTTGCAGGTGCGGCAGCATCACTCAGCTCCTTCATACCACCTCAGTGTTCCAAGTCGGTGCGCAAGCGGCCACACCCCGACTTGGAGGGTTGTCATCCAGGGGAAGGTGTGTATTTTAAATCCGGGAGACCCCCTGGCCCTGGCCGGGTAGACTGGTCTCTCGGAATGCCTCTCCTTCTTTGAGCTACACACACCCAAAACGATCCCAGACCGGTCCCAGGTTTTAGCCTCCTTTTGGAGGCTCGGTCGTCCTTTTGCGTCATACTCCACCTTCAATTGGGCCCTGGGGACGAGTTCCGATGAGATGTTCCAATCGAAAGGCTGGACCCTTGGCTACTCCTCTTGGACCCAGAAAGGGAGAGGACGTTTTATGAGTTTCTGGCTCACGTTGGTGACAGTTGCACGGGGCCAAACTACTACTGCTCACACTTTCAGGTGCCAACTCTCACTCCTTCAGGTGCTTGGCTTCCTGTTCCTGCTTCCGAAATCCAAGGTTTGGCCGGCCTCCTCGCCCTACGTCACCGCAGTGGGCGCCACCATGGTCTCTTGGGCCCCAAAGGCTGCCGGGGTCCAGCAGTTTCCGGCTGCGAACACTTTCGGGCCCAGAGGCTTTCGCTCAGTTTGGGTTTGGACCCTCACAACTTGCAAGTTTTGATTGGTTCAAAATCCATGAGCCCTCGGGGAGGAAGATGTAGTCTTCCCCATCACTTGGGGCTCGGTCGCCTGTTCTAGGCCAAGTGGTGAAGATCCCTTTTGTTGGGAACGTGGTCGACCCGGAGAGAGGACCGGCACGAGACTGAAAGGGCCCCAGGGCCGCTTTTGGTCGGTTCGAACGGTGGTTCGCCGTAAGACGAAACATACAGCGACGAACACGACGAAACATGAGCAGCCAGGCAGCAGCATTAGGGACATGAGAGAAGCACATGAAAATGAACACCTAATTGGATGGGCCACAGATTGAAAACAAAAAGATGAGACTGGATGAACTGGTTCTCAGGTGCCATGGCTGCCCCATCTCAGTCCGCGGAAAACGCGGAAAACGCGGATGCGCCAAAGCCAATCCGCGACGGTGGCTCCTGTCAGTGTCCCACTTTCCGCTCGCCCAGGTGTCCAATCACATGTCGGCGGCTCGGCAGCAACAGCCTGACTAAACCTTCATATATCTTCACAGAAAGCCCTCTGGAAGCTGGAGAACCCCACCAATTTTTCTGTTTGACATATACAGATCAGGGGATTTTTTGGTGACCCAGTTGCAACTCGAGGAGTCTTCCATCCCATCATGTTTGGTTTCATGACGCGTGTCTTCCAGGTCGCGCTCAGTTCGCCGTGCTCGTGCACCGTGCTCCGTGCTCCGTGCTCCGTGCTGAGGAGGTCTGCAACATCGACCGGATTTATGCCATGGGAAGCAACTCTTCCATGCCCTTTGCCTGCCCAGAGACCAACGTGGGCGAAATCGCCGCCCGGATGGATGAGAGAGAGAGAGAGAGAACGATGTTTAACTCAACCTGGAGTGGGTGGTTTTGCAGCTAGGTGAGAAACGTTCGATAGAGACACTCGGATAAACTGTGCTCCTTGAACGATGCGAATACCGTTTTCGGCCACTGATTGTTTTGGGACCCTCCTTCCAAGTTTGTTTTCTCATCCACAAACACAAATCCAGGTTGATACGACGTCATAAACCCTCATCTCACCGTTACCTGCCAGAGTTCGCTTTCAAAAAAGAATCTATTCGGATCCAAGTCTAAGTCCATCTAAGATTTTGGCCAGCTATACCAACCCCTTCCAATCCGCGCCCAAAAAAGACTCGCCTCGTTTGTCTGGAACTCCAATTGGACCGCCTCTTCAACAACACTGAGATTCCGATCTTCTCTCACCGCAGTCGTTTGTGCCAAGGTGTGCTCCACGCAGACTGGATCGATGATCACCAGTGGTGGGGGCTTCTCTCAACGATTTGCGAGGCCTGACTATCAGGCGCTTCTTTCGTCTTCACCGTGACCCGCTGCGCCGAGCCAACGCGTGCGAGCGACCCGAGTCGTCCCCCTGCGCTTCTGGAAGACTCAACTCCACCGAAGCAGCTCGCAGTCTGAGGCCGAAGTCATCGAGGAATATCTCAGCCAGGTGAAGGTGAACCGATCCCTCTTCAATGCCACAGGCGTTTTCGACCGAATCAACGGTCGGCAGCGGAATCATGCATTCTTCCAGCCACCTGTGGTTTGTGGGTATGATATATTAAGAGCTATTCTCTAATTTTCAGCAGCTTACTTGGTAGGCTTTTGATTCAGCTTGTCGAACTCCTTCATTACATCGCTTTCATCCCAAGCCGCCAGCAACTCTTTCGTCACGTCTGAACGTCTGAACGAGACCTCCCGTGCCGGCTGTCTCACTCTCGTCCAGGCCGGGGATATCCGGATCTGAGCGCCACGGGTGCTAACGTGCCGATCATCTTCGAGAACGGCTTGACCATGGCGCCTCGATCGGTGGAGAGGTGGCAGTGGCAGCTGGGATAAAATCCGTGTTTGTTGCCAGAAGCGATACAGCCAGTGCTTCTTTGGTGCGCTGCGCAGGTTTGTGGAGGATTAGCAGTGGGAGGGTTTTAGGTCAAACAAGAGTTTGCAGGTTTCCCCTCAGTTTGCAGCACAAAATCGAAGGACCGTGTAACCTTTCAACAGCCACTCCGAGGTTGGTGGCACCTCCGCAAGCAGCTGGGTCGCCCAGTAGCTGGGATCGAGCAGAACTCTGCACGGCCGGGACTCAAAAGTCAGGGCGGGCGCCCCAAAGGTGCAGATGTCGAAGAAGAACCACACCATCTGATCAGCCTGATGCTGGTAGAATTCTGCTTCCAGTTCGGTATGAGAAAAACCACGACCGACTAGACAGCAGTTTCTCTTTCGTTCGAGGCCCGATCGTTGCGGGCTTGGTGGCCTTGTTGAATGGCGAAAGGCTGGTCCCGCGCCGTGCGAGTGGGCCGCCCGTGAGCGACACTGGAGGCGTGTGGGGTGGCCATCCGACATCAGCAACAGCAGCGACACCGGTTTCTTTCAACCAAGAGGGGCCCGGGGTGTACCCAGTGTGCCCTGTCCTTCATTGAGCAGCCCTGCCCTGGTGAAGCATCCCATGCTGTTTGTGAAGCCCCATACACTTTCTGGGCCGAATGGGACAGCCCTTCACGGCCGGCCCCTTCTAGATTGAACTTGCTGCGCCAGATCCTCGTAGCAACCGGGTGCGAGGACTTCTCGCTGAAAAATCGCGGGCTGGTTGACATCGGCCAGTGATCATCATGACAAGGGTATTTCAGGTGCTTGCGGAACACCCGAAACATCCCTAAACAGTTGAAACCAAAGCCAACTTGATCACTTTTGACTTGCTTTAAGTATCTTTAAGTGATTTCCCAACATGCTTGGAAGAACACTAGTCACTAATCCTTAATTTTGTATTGTGGATCTTCAACACTGCTCCACCTGTGCTGTTTGGATTTTCCGTTCTTGACGCCAAGCTCTCAAGTGCACCTTTAGATGCCACCATGAAACTCATACAGTTTTGATTCCAAGACTTTGCCATGAGTATCATCTTCGCGGAGTCAAACCACTGTTTTGCCACTCTTCGGAGTGTGGTTCGGGGTCTGGGTGTTTCAAACTTGGATGTTGCCCATGGAAAAGACTTGCCACAAACTGTGATGCACTGTGTAGTTCTCATTTTTTCTTGCTTGCAACTTAAGGTTGTAATTCGTTTTTGCACTTGAGATTCTGAGACTGTGCCATTCAAGTGCCTGCAGAGCAAGCATTTGTTCTGCCCCTCTCTTGTTGATCCACAACAGGCTGGCTTCTGGCTTGCCACCTCTGGGATTTTTGAATCCTTTGTCTTTGAGCTCAGACGGGCTAATTCTTTGTGTTGCAAGACAGGTGGCGGCAAAGGACTTTTTCACAGTAGCAGTTCTTTTTCATGTTTGTCGAACTTCCATGGAAGTGAAGAAGAATAATAAAAAGAATAAAACAGATACAAATAACATTCAGAAGAAGAAAAATTGCGTAAAAACAAGAACCATCAAGAACCTTTATAGGTCACAACGCTCTATCAGTCTGTAGACGAAGGTGCGATCATACACCTCTGCACCATCAACGCATGATCGAACCGTTCGGCCATCGATTCGACGATCCATTCGGCGCCTACCACGTGTACCACGTCACACATCGTGTGATCACCAGTGCGACGGGTGAAGGGATCCAATGAAAGGAACACCGGGACGACCCGTGCAACGGTGCCTATCCAGCTCCCGGGGTTTCTGCCAAGTCCCGGTTTCGAAGCCCAAAAATGGACCCTCAAACATCCTCAAACACCCTTCCCATTGGTTCGGGCCCCGGTTCTGCAAAAGACTGCTTCTCCGCGTGGCCCGTGCGGTTATGGCGGGTTCCGAGGCTGTACTCCAGCTATCAGCGGTGGCCTGACATCGTCCAGGACGTTCGGGTGCGGTGACCTGGGAGGCCGAACGGCAGGCCGAAGGGCAGCTGAGTGTAGGGAACTGGAGGGAGTCTCGTTCGGCCAGGCAAAACGAATGGGCGAACGGAGCCTTTGAACATGCATTGGGCCGTTTGTTTCTCATTTCGGTTTAGACATTTGACAAGAGGAGTGGAAAAGGGGTTCGTTCTGAGGGGATAGTGGTTCTTTATCTTTGATTCTGCAGGAGGTGTCCGGTGTCCACTTTGTTTGGTATGTTTCATGATTTTCTTAACCCTGGGAGTCAAAGACTATAGAAAGAATGGTCTTTAGAGACCTGAAAGGGAACTTCCTTTACTTCAGTCAACATATAGTCTTTGGACTTCTAGGGTTAAATTGTAGGGGAACCTGCAGGGCGAATTCTCGAAACACAATGTGAACGAAATTCAGTGGCTCTACCCCGCTTGAAGGAGATACCCCGGGTTTGGGGGTTCCATGTTAACACCAAAACAGTCTTCTGGTCTCCATGCGAGCCACAGCCAAAATGGGTTCGAAAAGGCTTGTGGCCCCTCCACCTTCCCTATTCTTTATAGGTAAAGCAGTTGCTTGCGGCAGCTTCAGCTCCAGTTTGGGCAGCTTGTTTTGCTCCTGCCCTGTGATCCCCTCCACGAAGCAGCCTCTTTTCCTCTATTCTCCGACCCCTCCGACCTTAAAGACGCCCGAAAAGCTTCAGCTCTTTCCCAGACACTCCATGTAGAGGACATATGCCTGACCCAGGCCTCCAAATACCACCCGAATTGGAACTACATGGGGGAATCTGCCAATCCGGATTTCTGGTTGACTGAACACATGGCACGGGGACCAGCACGACCGGCCGTTGTGGTGCCAAAGGAGCTTCGGTTCGTCTCATCGGGTACATCACTTTGGTTCGTGTCAGCTTCTCGCCCCTGGGAATCAGAAGAATCAGATTCGCCAACTTTGACATGGCATGACAGTCTTTGTTTGCCAAGCTGAAATCCTTGCGCGACTCGGTCCAAGATCTCAGGTGGGGAACATCTCAGGCTCCAACCTGCTCCTTGGACCGAGTGAGTTGAACCGGGGGCCCAAGGAGCAGGCGATCCGGGGCTGTCAGAAGAAGTGGGGATGGTGGGAACGGGAAGGACTTTGGGGATACGCCTCACGGGTTTAATGTTTGAAGAAAGCTGGATGAGCGGTGAATGCATGTGAATGCGCCAATTTACATGGTTCCTTGGTTTTCTCCTCAATCCTGAGTTCTCTTGGGAGTTCTGGAGGACGCAAGAATAATTTCAAACTGATGCCACATTCTTGCTGTGTTGGGGATTTCAGGAGTTCGTTTCGTTTCCATGATATAAAACCTCTGTGTTATTTTTGTTTGCCGCCCCAAGTTTAGAGCATCGAATGCTATATAGGATGCCTTCCAGTGCACCAAAAGCGGTAGGACATCGTGTCAATGATGGGATCTTGGAACACGATGGAGCCCTTTCATCCCCTTGATTTGCAATTTTTCAGTCGCACTGTGCAAGGAAGGATGATCTACTATAAAATGTGTATACAATGAATCCTTTAGACAAAGGTGTGAAAAACTGGTTTCGTGTCAACAGAAATGGGATGTCTCCCATTCTGAGAGGCATCCGAAAGAGTAAGCACAGTGCTGAGTTCGGGGCTGCGGTCCGTGAATCGCTGACTGAGTCTGACTTGCTACGCACAGTCATAGCCTCAATAGACAATGCTTGTGAAGGAAGTCCACCAAGGGTTCTATTTAATCCTTGGACACAAGCAAGATGTTCTCAGAAACACCCTGGAAGAATCCCACCAATACCAGGCAAACCCTTTTTCAGTGCACTGCATGAGGGCAAGCTGATGGGAGCTGAGGCTTCTCCCGAGCGGCTCCATCAGAGACTGCGCCCCCTGGGCGATAGAAGTGTTTATTTGAGTGAAGAGATGTGGTCAATGTGGATTTGGTTCTTTGAGAAGTGGATTTGTTCGAAAAAGGGTTTATGGCACTACTGTGGCGCTAAACTTGCATGAACTCACATTTAAGCTGGCATTTTTGCATCAGTGAACTGTGAGACTGCTGGTCTCTACTTCAATAGGATTCTTCTTTTTGGTTCCGATCGTGCTGGAAATACACACATGGCGTGAACGAACAAGACCTGGTTGTTGGAGTCCCCACGCCGCGGCGGCGTGGCTCCGGAACGGCGGCCACTCGCCTTCCTGCCCTGAGAGGGAGCAAGAAATCCTCCAAAGGGTGTCCCTTTTCGTTGAAAAACGTGATCCTGGAACGTCTTTCTTTCGCAAAGAAGTGAATAGAGTTCCAAACTTCAGCTTCTGACTTCAGAGTTCCAAACTGCCAAGAGTTCACTCGGTCGTTTCCACCAGTTCCTGGGAGTTGTGCCAAAAGTGGAACATTAGTGCTAAGGGTCGATTCCAACTTTCCTGGTTGAAACGGGATTTGGGTGGATGCGGGTAGACCGGTCTTGGGTTGGGAGACCTGACCTTTTGAGGCAAGCCCGCCCCCTTTATGGTCCACCCAGCCAGGGTTAGGGGGTGTCTCCACCAGTGTTTTCACCATGTACCGACCTCATGAGGCTGAAGGCTTCGAAGCTTTGCCGGGCTGGGATGCGGCCACTGGACTCGGTTGGAGCCCAAGTGGTGAGTGAGGGCGACTTGGGAGGTTTGAGGATGTCAGGGAGAGAAGTTCGGAGATGGGTGATGTGTGGGGTGAGCAAGGGTCAAGTTGAGGTTGCTTTTTGGAAGCCTTTGATGGTTCAGGCTGGTTCAGGATTGATTTCGGTAGAACCTCTCTCAAGAACTTAACGTCTTGGCTTGATGATAAAACTATATGCTGCCCAGTTGGAGCTTCCATTTTGGCCCCGCAATTCTTGAACAGGGATGGGGACTAGTCTGGCAGGTACCTTGTGCGGAGAGTGCCCATTGTAGCTTGGTTCAATATCAGCTGCCAATGGAACAAGTCATTCTCCAAAGGCTCTGATGTTCTAAAATAATGGATCTCCAATGATCTTGTGATTTGCAAGTGCAACAGCGAAAAAGCCTATCACACACTGCACAAGATCACAAGCTATGATCTGCTACGGCTTGAGGTACAATTGTGGCAACCACTCGCCAGTTTTCTGACTCGTCCCGGTGTCCGAGGGCTTTTGAGAGAATCCTGAGCTTGTAAGGTCGATCAATCTCTTCGACCGCTCAGTGCTACTACTCGATTCTCCCGGCACCAACGCGGACCTACATGGTTCACAGACCTTATTGGGGGGTGGTTGATGGTGGTTGGTTCATCAAGAGTCCACAAGTACTACACCTTTTGTTCTTTTTGGGAGGTACGGCGCCGCAAGACTCAACTCTGCACGCAACACCTGGCTTCGCTCAACCGAGGTTCCCCGAACTTCAAAGAGATGCCCCGGGCGCCCAGCGGAGAGGGGTCGCTGAACGCAAGTCTAACATAGCTCGACGCTGTTCGGGGTTCGTTCAGGGCGTTGCGACCAGATACGACTGCATCGACCAGATCAGAATACCTCAGATGATTGTTTTCGACGTATACGACTCGACGCCTGATTCACAAGAAGGGCATCGTGTGGCCACTTTAGGCCTTGTACCCCCCGGTTAAGTGGGGGTTCGAAGAATCTGGATGGCTAGGTTAGTATTTCGATGCCTCTTAGTATTTCCCCTAATGATCAACCAGCATTCGAAAGCAGTGTGTCTTGATGTCTTCACCTCTTCACGCTTTCAGGCTCCAACGCCTCGTGGCGTGACCGCCCAACACGGAGCGCCTGCAGAAAGAGACGGTCGTGTGAAAAGAGCGTCTCCCGACGGAGCGCGGCCGGACATCGGTGATTGTGGGCTCAGGATGAATGTATAGTTGTTACCAGATGTTAAGTTTGAGCTGTTGTTTTTTCTTTTTTAACTTGGGATTTGGAGTGTCATGTTTTTGTTGATGCTAAATGCTACTTTAAAATAGACTTTTTCATATAGATCCTAAACCAACAAATCCCCAAATTCCCAATCCCCAACAAGAAACACCTGAGAGAAACTATTTCCACATTTGGCAGCTAGCCTGCCTAAGGAAGTCTCAAATCTATGACTCATGAGGTATCATTTTTCCTGTGTATCTGCATGGATATGGGATATGATATATGTGTTTACATATAACTGTATTCTAGACATGTATATACAATATAAGAGCACATTAATATAAATAAAGAGGTAAATCAATCGGGCAAGGATTGCCTGATGTCCGAATAAAGATCAACGGCCGGTGATTGCCTGGTTGATTCGCGGTCGAAGAAATATGTGGTTATTTGACGAACATAACCCAGTGAGTCCTGGGACATTTATTTAATAGCCTTTGTGCAACGAACATTTATTGGTCGCAGGTCGGCTATTGTTTGGCGATCTCAAGAGATGCTGTCCAGTATCGTTGTTGCTCTGCAGGTATGATGCTCATCGGTCATTCCAGTATCTAAAGCGTTAACATGTTTTTTGCTCAACAGGGAGGTGTTGAGACATGAACTCAAATTTTCCAGAGGTCCTCAATCTGGCATCGGGAACAAACAATCATGCATGGGGTACTGTAAATCGATCATTGTTCTTTTTCTTTTGGCTGCTTATCCAATGCAGCCATGATTATGATATCATGCGGGCTGCGCTCGACCATTTGCTGGTGCAGCGACTTTGCAGTGGCAACTATGGTGCGCCCATCCGTGACTTCAGAAGTACAGAATTGTAGGCAAACACATAGAACCGTTGTTCGATTGCTGTTGGATGGCAGCGATATTATTGCTCGATGGCAGCCATTTTGGCATGAGGGCTTCAGTGACCTAGTGGGGCCTCTGAAGGGTTGTAGAACTATACCTAAACACTCCCTCAACGCCCACAGGATCGCCCAGCATCACCATCATCCAGGATCGGCCACACACCCATCTTTTTTCACCATCAAATCGAAACAATGCCGGCAGCTGGTCCTCGGCCGGTTCGCTTGCGACCAGAAGTCATGAAGCTTCTGGAGGAGCTTGCGTATATGAAGTGCGTCGTCGTACGTCCGCATGCCCATTCCGGTTTGTGAACATAATTAATATGATTTGCTAATATTGTACGTATACTGTGTATATGAATAAATAGCTCTGAACGCGAGGACTTGTATGAAGAGATTCTCAGCGACAAGGGCTACATCCACCGCCGACGGAAGGAAATAAGGAAGCAACACGAGATTCCACAAGGGGCAGACCCACGGTAGCAAGTAGGCCCACATCCCCGCAGCGGTGTTTTTGTTTTTCTTTATTTCGAGGGAAACCTTTTTGCCTGAAATGCTTAGCTTGCTCAGGACGTGGTCTTCAGCATGGTGGATGTCAAGGTCCACAGCATTGGTGAAAGTCAGGCCAGTTCAATCCTGCCCTGACGGTTTACACTGCCCTGCCGATATGGTAGGTCGTGGCCGACGCAAACTTTGACATGGTTTGCCAATACCTTGCCTTGTTTGTGGGTGACTACGAGCCATTGCCCAGAAAGGTCGAGGTTGAGGCAAGGCGGCATGCGCAGCTTGCGCTCTTGAAGCAAAAAAATCCTAGTGCTGACTCTAGATACCATGTCCATGCGTCAGGAGGCACTCTTCAAGGTGGCAAAGCGGGCCGCGGTAAACAGGTTCCGCCATGACCATGAATGGAAGGCCTGCAAGTTGTCATGATTGGGCATGAAATTTTGGACAACCATGCAACGCAATGTTTTAGTGCAGCTCGCTCAAATGACTTACCTGGCAGGCATGGGCCCATATTGAAGCGAACCTGCACCGTGCACTGGCATCCTACTGCATGACCAGATGGTCTCGCAACAAGGGAGTGAGGCGGGCCTTATCTCCATTATAATTTATAGGGTCGATTCTACGCTTGCGCGCAGGTCACCATCCAAGTGTGGGAGGATGCTGCAAATCAAAGAGATCATAAAAACCAAGCTGGAGGCTCCAGCTATTCCCAGAATATTTTTGATTAAGCTCATGCGCATGCAGGCGAATGACAAGTTGGCGGAGAGTGGCAAGAAGATTCCTGAGCGTGGCAGATATGCCAAAAAAGCTAAAGCCCCAGCTCTAAAAAAAACATTAAAACATACAGCAGGCGTCATGAGTGCATTTACTCATGCCGTCGCATCACCTTTGTCACCCAGGCGAGTGGATCAAGCGTCGAGATCGACAGTGAACTGCAGGAAGGGCAGCAGCGAGATTTGCAGGAGGCGGGGAACCTCCTTTCCAGCTCAGCAAACATCAGTCGCACCTTCCTTTCCTTCCTTTCTTCCTTCGCTCCTTCGAACATCCTCTTGTGCATGGGACAGGATGCAGAAGAGCCAGACCTGTGCAAGGTTGACCTGCATTATGATCCAAGACAGGATGATGACACATGTGAGGATGGTGGCGGTGAGGGAGGAGAGGAGGAAGCCGAACGTGAGGATGATGAGGTTATCTCTGTTGATGATGATGCTTGTGATCAAGGTGATCAGGTTCGTGCGGAAAGCCCCGACAACCAATTAGGTCTAGATGAGGATGAACCAGGTACTGAGATAGATGACGACGAAGAAGAGCAACACGATGAGTGCGAGGAGGAGCGTTTTTGGTGATCATGAGACAGTTTATATATATGTTCCCTGAACCGATATGAGCCGATCCCGGCTTGAATCTCTGCTGTCGTCTCGACGCGAAGGAATTGGTGAGCGAGAACAATGAGCAATCTACTGCCCAGAAGGCGCGCTCTCCTGCTGAAAACTTTGGGTCACTCCACTTAGGAGGCCTTTCTATTTCAGTCCTTTGAAGCTTTTTTGAGTTGAACACCCTTAATCGACTTTGCTCGCTCTTTACGCGCATGCCTCACAGGACCGCAAACCTTTGACTGCAAAATTGGCCTCGATGGACGCTGACTTGGAGGGGAGGGCAAATGCAATGTCCCGGAAACTCAGTGACACTGCTGGCAACGACAAACGCGCGGATCTTGTGAAGGCCTGTTTTTAATTGGTGTTCCCTTTCCATGCATGCCTCAGGGGCAGTGTTCTGTTGCTCCAATTTGTTTTCTATAACCGCGAGCTCGAACCTTTAATAACCCCTGCTAGGCACAACGAGTTTTGAGAAAAGCTGCCAAAGAAAGCAAAGTTGAGACTTGGGACCAGGACCAAGAGGATCCGGAAGATGCCGACCGACTGTATGTAGAAAACCAGAGCGACGAAGAGCAGGAAGCTAAAGCAGGTCGAGGTCGAGGCAAAGCGCGAGGTCGAGGCAAAGCGCGAGGTCGAGGCAATGCACAAGGCCGAGCGAGAGGCAAAGGCAAAGGTCGAGGAAAGGGTGCAGGGGCATTCAAACGGCCCGCAGCCAAACAGCAGCGCGACAGAACCGGCAAGGCAGAGGCAGAGGTGACAGAACAGCTCGAGGCTCCAGAGGAGACGGGACGCAAGCGCAAAGCAAAGAGGGGACAGGAACCGGCGGCAGAGAGTCGTCAAAAGAAGCCCAAAGCAAAAGAAACTTTGGATGACAACTCTGTGGAGGCTCCTGCGCGTGTTGGCATGAGGGGTCAACTCATATCATGATATGTCCTGCATATGGGGCGCAGTTGCAAATAGTTAAAGATCTTCTCTTCAATCTTGGACTGTTGGGTGGGCCTGAAAGGAGCAAGGAATACTATATCAGTGTACATGTGTTCAGGTGCAAGGTCCATCGACCTAGAGTGATATGCGCGCACATGTGCATGCACTACGCAATCTGGACTTTTGACACACTAGCCGCTACACTTTTACAGTGGTCAACTTGCAATTTAAGGGGGCAAGCGCTCATGAAATTGAAAAGCTCGAGGTATCCAATTGGAAGCGCCTGGACGAATTGGTGGAGCTGTGTCCCACTTTGAAAGCCAAGCGTCCTCCACTTCCTCTGGTCAAAAAGCCATCGGCTTGGATCCATCACCTCGGATTGCAGTCATGTGTCTAGCTCCCTGAAAGAACCAATTATGACCTAGGTCTTTCACTGTCAAGCCACCTTCCTACGCTGAATGTGAAGATCCTTCATCAATTGGTGTTTTGTTCAGAACTCAGAGCATGTCTGTTTTCCAACTGTTCAGGCAGCCCCACCAAAAAGTGCTGGGCCCGGCCCAGGTTGACTGAAGGAGGCTACTATGTCTACAAAGCGGACAAAGCGACCGTGAAGAAGGTTTGCAAGCTTGAGAATGAGCATCTCCAGGCACTCAACGCTTCCCGTTAAAGCTTTCCAAATTTGTTGTGTACCGGAATTTCTACCAATTGTCGACAATGAGTCGATCCTAATCGATCTAGTTGTGGATGCAAAGCAGGACTGTTTGCAAGCCAAAGATTGGGGCAGCAAAATATGCATGTGTGTTGTAGGACTCAGCATACGCAACTTCGCCCCTGACTGTTGCGCCGCGCAGGTGAACAACAATGGGGGTTGTTCCATTTACTGGAGCACACA